GACCCAGTTGTACCGACTCAAAGGAGCAAAGCAGGCTGGATATTCACTCACTTTAATGTATCACGATGATCATGCACAAGCGCACCACTGAATCTCCTGTTGCTTCGAGGTAACTGTTGTAGCGCCCTTTTGTATTTCCGAGCCAAGTAAAAGCTGGAAGTAAACTTTATACAAGTTATAAAACTAGGTAATGTACGTAATGTTATTCTTAGGAACTCTCAATAAACCTAGTACAAGGTAAAAAGTTTATCGGTAAATTTGTTTACATATTTCATGGTTATTCATACGAAAACGTACGCTTTCTCATTACCTCAATCCATTTTTATTTCAAGAGCAAAGTATTACAGTGTAGTAAAGTATTACAGTGTAGTTGTGTCTCAACTATATGAAAAGAATTTTGTCGGATTTTCAAGGCAAAACGTCAAATGGAATTCATATAGGAAAGATAAAAGTCCTTCAAAATATTTCAAACATTTCCGGTCTCTTGGTGAAAGAAAAATAGAAATGCTTCATGGTTATGACATCACGCCCTAAACTATTTGCACTATGGTGCATTATGGTGTCTCTTTGATGTGCTTTCTTAGGGAGCGGAATACGAAGCCACATGGACTTCTGTGTGGTCCCAAACGAAGGAGGTTGTTCTCCTCCTGATGGGAGCTATCTTATCCTCACCAAAACGGAAGGCACAGCTTGTAATGCAACCGATCAGATTTTTTTTTGGACCAAGATGGAGTTATGTATCATGCATGCAGCAGGAAAGTGGTTTGTCCACAGGGTAACAGTTTTCTCCATTTACTTTACATAATTAGTTTTGTTGTTGTTGTTGGCATCATTTATGAACGTTATCTGATTTCTAATTGACTGTTTTCGATGTTCTTGTTATCGTTGCTTATTATTTTAATATAATCAATCATCGACAAAATTTAAGTGAGCTTTTAAATTTTATCTGACAGTAACAACATTTCTAAGGAATTGTTCCCCTTTTCGACCCATTATTCTCCTTTTTCGAGAATAGATTACTTTGCATAGGCGCCAATATTTCAAGGGGGAGGAAAATATTAAAAATCTTGTAGTCCAAGTGAGATAAACACTTTTTGATGATCTTTCGTCTCGAATTACACTTAAATTCGTGAGTTCGTCATGCACAATCCGTTTTTGAAACTCAAACTCTGTTCGTCTGTTTCTCCTTCTTTTTGGGTAGACAATAGCCCTACTCGTCAAAAGAAACTTATGTTAAAGGATATGTGCGATCTGAGCATTTCAAGGCATGTCAGGTATGTTGAGGCTGCAACACAATGACAGTTTTTGCCTCGTGTTCATACTATGTTCATTCCTTTCCTCCTTTTTTTCTCGTGGTAATTCTTTCCCTGTGCATAAGTTCTCTTTCGCTTCGACATATTCATCAACGAGTTGAGTCACTTACTAAATAGCAAGTTCCTGGAAGTTGCACGTTTCTCTCTAGAAAAACCTAAATAGAATCGAATTCAGGTCAATTCTGTACGGTTCTTTCCCTACACAAGACAAAACATCTTTGTGTTCACGAGTTCCTTTTTCTGATTAATATCTCGCAAAAGTGAAGTGATGAAATCTTCAAATTGTTTTTTTCTTTTTATATTCCGGTAAAATTGCGTTCCTGTTCGTGAAGAGCAATGGTTTTCTAATACATCGCGTATCTGGTCATTTCAGGTTGCCAGTCCATAATAACCTGAAGAATTTAAAGAACAATTTCTGTGTTCATCCACGTGGTGGATGGCCAGTTGAGGGAGTGCATTTGGTGTACTGGCCAGAATGTGATATGGCAAGATTGAAGCTCAACTTCTTTGAACTTGGTAAGACATTAACGCGAAGATTGGAAGAAATATAAAATGAGATACGTTTAAGAGCGCTTTGGAGTGTCGCCGAAACAAACTAATCACAATGTCCAATAAGAGTAAAGGACAATAGAACAAGAAGCCAATGGGAACGTACGATAGGAATAGCCGTGAAAGGTCTAAAGCGCAAGAAAGTGCTCGTGACTAAGTCCGGATTGTTGTTTTACATCAGCCACTGATAGCACTAACAACTAGAAAATTCTGAATGGAGATCATTTCAATTTTTCCTTGCAGGTGCACCAACTCCCTGAATTCCAGTGCGAAGAAAAATTTATTCCCTTATTGGAAATTGTAATAACACAACAAATGCCAATTGCCGCGGGAGCTGCGGTAGACTAGATGTTAGATAATAAAGGCACGAGTTACTGCATTTGCATTCTGAATAGTTGTTTCTAGATCTCTGACAGCAATAATACGGGAAGTCCTACCTAACTCAAAATGCACCACTGAGATGTGTCATGAGAGAGCTAAAAAAGACTGCCCCTGCGTCTTCTGCTGCGGCAGGAGACTGGGAATGACAACACAAAACCATAGCAACGTTACGTAAGATTGCGAAATGTTTGAAATATAGGACAGAGTGGAGGATTTTCTCCGGGGTAACTTAGGTGTAGGTAAAAAGGCTTGGTTAGAAACTTTGGTTAGAGAGAGGTCGATTATCTTTAGCTTTGTAAACCGAATCTTTTGCATATTCCACCTTTACCCATGCGCGCCAATCGTAGTTTTATCTCGGACAGATTTTGTGCCGCGAAAGTAAAACAAACATTAACAATTGCAAGGCCCACAATATCTTATTTTAAGGTGTATTAAAATGGGTTTTCCAGAAAAAAAAAATCTTATCATAGAAACCCAGCAGGAAAAAGTAGCTTCAATTTATATTTGAGAAGAAAAATAATTTTTCATCACGGTGATTGTAACTTCTATTTTCAAAAAAACAAAGACGACAAAAACTTGATTCTACACATCTTAGTCGCTTTTCCTGGAAATTTGAGAAGAATAGAGCAAATTCTAAATATTTTCCCCTATTTTATGCATGACCATATCTGTCGATAAAAATCAACTAGGAAACTCTAATCCACCTTGCTAAACTAGTGCTAATACTCAATTCGGGGACATCTATTACGAACAAACTAATGGCGCAGTCATGGGTTCCAAATTGGGACCCAGCCACACCAGTCTTTTCGTATTATCGAACACCAACTTTCCAGGGAATACAAGGTCCCCAAACCTGATCCTTATGGTCGCTACATTGACGACTGTATCGGTGCTACCTACTCCCGGGGGGGGTACTCGATATATTCCTGGGTGGGGAGGTGCGGCGCGGCCTCTCATACCCTGACCCTGTTTAAGACAAATATCGCTGATTTCCCTACCCTGAAGACAGAATTCCGATTTTTGATACCCTGTTTAAGACATTTAATGTGCGTGGTATCAATGCCAAAATCAACGGAATTCAATAGTAATTAAAAATTAGAGTTTGTAAAAATTTTGCTGTTTATCTTCCAAGAAAAGATATCCTGTTTAAGACAAAAATTGATAAATCGATACCCTGATTAAGACAAAAAATGATAAATTCGATACCTTGTTTAAGACATTTAATGTGCGCGGTATCAATGCCAAAATCAACGGAATTCAATATTAATCAAAAATCAGAGTTTGTAAAAATTTTGCTGTTTATCTTCCAAGAAAAGATATCCTGTTTAAGACAAAAATTGATAAATCGATACCCTGATTAAGACAAAAAATGATAAATTCGATACTCTGTTTAAGACAAAAATCTCGAAAAACATACCCTGGCTGGCCGCACGTCCCCATCAAGCCCTTATAAGGGAGCACCC